TTAATAGTTTACAAGAAGATAGAGCCGATGTTGTACGTTTCTACAGCCTGTGTACTTCAGGAAGTTATGTGGTTTCTCAGATACTCCTATGAAAAACTTAAATCCAGGAGACGATTTATTTGTTTGTGCAGCTGTAATCAGGCTTTCTCTGTTCATCTCACCAGGGATTCCCAGCCTTACCTGAGTGCTGTTATTTGTCTGTATTTGAAGATTCAAATGATTGTCAGTGCACCAATTTGTTTTTGTGTAGCATATTTACAGGCAAAAGCTAAACACTTTTCCTCTTTTAATGTTATGACCTTAAGATTCTTGGGAATTCAATAAATCTGCAAAGCTCTTCAGCCTAAATTTAGATACATTCTTTTTTTGTATCAGCTGCTTTTTACTACCTCTACTGATTTTGCTGTGTCTTTTGCCTCAGCATCAATACACCTCTGTCTGTGAAAGCATTGAAGGATTACTTTAAGATTGTAAAGGACAGAGTAGAGTGAGATCAGCTCTGAATACCAGCCAACTTTCTTTTGACCTGTTTTACCCCTCTCAACATTCAAATGGGTCAATACAGACCACCTAGCAGATAGCAAGCATAAAAATAACCAAATATGCTTTTACTTGGTGTGCCCTGAGCTCAGTAGTTCACAACCTGTCCAAAGGCTGTGAAGATTTCCATCGGTCTTACTCAGTCTCTGTACCACTGTGAAACATGCGACGTGACTTAAGTCTTACTTAATGCTTGAAGTTTTGGTGGCTGCAGAGGGTAGATAAAATATAAATCTCATACTGAAAAGGCAAATACATCCAAATACTGTCTATGGAATAATGAATACTTTTTGCAGACAAACCTCATGGTAGTGGACAAATACAACTTTTAAACGTAAATTGCTTCAGGTCCTAGCAGATACATATTCTTTCACTTCAAAACAATTTGATAAAGTTGTCATTTCCAAGCTGCTCTCTTGAGTGATTTCTTTGGGTTACTCTCATCATTATCTAATCTTTCTGTTATCTTCCCACTCCCACACCCTTTAGGGTGCTAAGGACTGCCAGACGGGTCATTTCACTTTGCAGTGCCTTTGCATGTGCACTTGTTTTGGCATCATTGCCCTTTGTAGCACAGTCCATGAAGTTACACTTGATGTGGCATTACTTAAATTAATTTTGATCTTGCAGTGTAGTTCCTGCAGTTCTTCATTCTGCAATTGTCTTGACAACAGATTTGCATAATCAGTGGGTAGGAATTTGTTTTTAATTTTGATGTTCTGATTAGCTTGATTCAGATAAATAATAGAAGGTTGTGAAGATAACACAACATGGCATGAACTGGTAAAAATGATTGTAAACAGAACAAATAAGGCAAACGATGGAGTTAAGTTCAGTGGTTATTTTTATAAAATGTAAGCAAATACTATTTCTAGTTTCTGTCTTCTCGCATTGTGACAGCTGCTTGAGAGCTAAACATATGTATTTATTCAAATATTAGTCACTCTCACTGCTCCCTGAACAAAGAGAAGGAAGCTTATTAATTTGTTTTCTGCCAGCGATTCTTGATGCAGAGGGATAGCAGACTCTCCCGACTCTTACTTGAATTCTTCTTTTCTTCTTTCATTCCAAAGGCAACCCTGTGGACCTGCACCTTTGTCATCACATGAGGGAAAACCTAACACAGCTTGTTAAATTTAGTGTAGAGGATAATTCTGAGGTAGTAATTGTTTGGCTCTGCCCCTTCACATATCCCAACCCCACCTTTCATGTCCGTCCTTCCATCCCTAACTAATGATGGCACCTGACAAGACAATTAAGTAAGAAATACCAACAATTAAATCAAGCTAGTAATGAAGTTACCGTTTACCTATTCTAGCCATTTTCATTCATTAGAAACCCAAGATTACTTTTTTCTTAAGTGATCCAGCCCATCTCTACTTCCTGCTTGAGGAGGAACATCCACACAACAGTCCTTTTCCAGTCATCTCTGCAGGGCAGGACTTAAATACTGTGGGCAGTGAAACCAGAAAACATTAATTTCTACATCTTAAGAAGAGCAGAGCTCCCTCAAATTGGGACCCATTGTGGGGGTGAAGGGGGGGGGGAGAGAGAAATAGAGAGAGAGAGAGAGGGGGTCTGCTTAAACTGATCATTTTAGGACATTTGCTAGAGTAGCAATTTGAATAGTAGGACTGAAAGAGATTAGTGGAAAACGAGTCATGAAGTATGTTAGAAATGAAAGATGGATGGAGTGTTTAGGAGAAGAGAAAGGCGTAAGTAGGAAAGAAAGGTAAATGACAGGGTCAAGAGTAGAAGGGTGTATTTTGGAGACTAGAATCATAAACAAAATATATTCTGTAGACAAAGTAATCATGACGTAAGACTATTAGTTGGGAAAATGAAGAGGTGTCTGGAAAGTAGTCAATCCGAGTCATGAACTAAAGGAATACAAAACAGAAAATAGATGAGAAAATATACAATCCAGAAGAAAATCAAAAGGCAAAATGATACTTACTTTTAAAGTATTTTGATAACATGGGTTTGGGGGGCATTTCTGTATTTAGTTGACTTGGGACAGCGTGGGCAAAAGGGAGCTGGAAAGAGGCTGTTTGCCCACCTGCTAGAGTAAAAGGACACAGTGAAATACACTTGTGTGTCTGGGAAAAGGCAAATGACAGCACGGACAGGGGGGAGCGTTAGCTCCCGAGTCCTTGATTTTTAATGTTCTCTTACTAATTTTATGGAGACAGCTGCATCTTCTCACTAGACAGGTAAAAAAGTGCCCTCTGCGAGGCCGTGGCAAAGAGCATGTCTGACCTGCCTCACCTGGGATGGTGGGAGGTGAAGCTGGCTGGATAAAAGCGTATGCTAAGCATCAAAATGTGCGTTGGTGCCATTGTTATGATAGAATCAAGTAATGTAAAAAATGCAGTGGAACAGAATGGCTGTTAAAGCTTTTGCTTTTATTTTGAAAGTAAACTTAATGCTCTGTTTGGTTGTGTTTGGTATTTTATACTATTAACGTTTCTCAGTGCTTACATGCTAGCATAGCAAATACTATACCACTTTAATTTTACATTCTTCAAAACTTCAGTAATTCTGTTACAATCCTTTCTGCAGTAAGGGTATTATTTTATTTAAACAAGTCCAGGATTTGAATAGTAACTCTTGGAAAGCTGATCAACAGTCTCTTCAGCTTTTCAGACAACCGATTCTGGTAGGTGAGAGACAAATGCTCTCTGTGAACTAGGCATATCTGAATTAGGTGATTATTATTAGGTAAATTTTAATAGTCCCATCTACCAACAACAGTGAAAAAGACATTTCTCAGTACTACAGAAACGTGCAAAGAATATTCCTAACTGTGATTACTAATGTACTATTAAGATTCAGTGAGCAGTGATGTTTTGCTGTTTACATCCATCTGGCTCTTCCTGGTATTCTCATACTCCGGATAGTCTTGCCTGGAATAATGAATACAGAATTAAGTAGGCTTTGTCAAATGGTCAACGGCCATTTAAGTATACACCAGCTCTTCCGTGCTGTACGTAACCTGCGTGGACTTCCCTCCCCTTCCTCGTAGTGCAGGACAGAAGTTACTCTGTGCCCATAAGAAAAGAAATAAAGAGGACTGATCCAGCTATTGGGCAGAACAACCACCAGCCTTTTCCTCCTTCCATTTCAGTTACCGTTTGCCTCGTTTCAGAGATTTGAGAAGTTTAATGCCTCCGTTTATCTTTGACTTCTTGGTCACAGGCTTTAGGTGGCAGATAAGATGAACGCTTCTTAATCCTTCTCTCCTCCCATTTCTTCCTTTCTCTCAGATGCCAAGTTCTTCAGTGGCACTTGGATGCAAGTAGTGACCCATGTAATTTCCAGTGTTGTTTTTCTGCTAAGCAAGACGTTGCTGGGAAGTTCTTCAAGGGACTCTGTCCCATACCACTGCCTTACAGGGAGGTCTTTTTTGAAAGAAAAGAGGGAGAAAGAGATAATGGGTACATCTGTGTTGATACAGGAATAATTTAACAAGTGGATTCTCAAAATATTTCTCCTTCAGCCTTCAACAAACCCACAGAAAAGCGTCAAGAGAGCTGTTTCTATTTACCTGTGAAAATGACTAAATATAACTATGGCCAAAATGAAAGAGCAGCAACATTTGGCAAATTTACAACAAACATAATTCCCTAAAAGTGTTTCAATTTTGTATTTGATAAAACTGCTGCTGTAGTATGTGGGAAATGTAGCTCTTTAACAAATAGTGGGGATTTTACTTGTTTTGGGTTTGCATATTTTTTTTTTCTTTTAATTAAAAAAAATATCCTCTTGTGTATAAAAACAAAAACTGTTAGAACTACATTTATAAGCTCTGTGGATAAATATTATCTGGTGGGCCTGGTTTGGCTTCTTTGACAGAATAAAAGGAAATACATTCAATTAGCGATAGGATTTTTAACATGGCTTTTGTCCAAAACTACTCGAGTTTCCCTTCTGCACCACCATTAAAGGCAGAAATTAAACTATGTTCAGTCTGTAACAACACACCTTCAATTTAGTTTACTTCACTAGTGTTTAATGTGATGGTTGTTTTTTTGAGTACAGAAGCTTTTGTCACCTCATGGTGATCTGCAGAACTCTGCATCTTTTTTAAGTAACACAAACTGTTCTCCGTTGTGATCATACTTAGATCAGCTTGTTAAGAACACATTTGTATGCTACTAAGAGGTCTACGTGAACTAGGAATGATTTTGACACAGGTCTACATTGTTTAATGTATTTGGAAGTTCCATTCCCAATAAACTGGCTCATTCTACAACATATATCATTAGAGTGAATGAAGTAGGAATGAGTAGGTGTTAGCATAAAAATCTGAACTGGGAATGTGTTGTTTTTTTTTTTTTTTTTAAATCTTTTCCTGTAAGATATACTAACAGTTCTTGCACAAATTATAATTTTATGTACCGAAATTCCTTTCCAATCTCAAGAGAAGTCAAAACAAATGCTTGAATTTATTTTTTCAGGAACTGCAGTTTGAGAGACTGACTCGAGAACTTGAGGCTGAACGTCAGATTGTAGCTAGCCAGCTGGAGAGATGTAAGCTTGGATCTGAAACTGGAAGCATGAGCAGCATTAGGTAATGTATGAATTTATTTGTAGCGTAATTAATTTTGTCACTTTTACAAATTATCACTGAGAACAAGAGTGATCGTCTTGTAAAAAAATTATGCACCAGGAGCATGAGATTTTATGTAGAGCTTGAAAATTTGCATTCTGATCTGCTTTTTGAAAAGGAAATTTCCAGAAAAGGCTAATTTCATATCTGTTTTGTCCAGTAACAAAATAGTAGTCGCATTTGGAATTCATCGATTTGCTTTAGTCTGAACGGATTAACAGCAAAACTCCTGTTTCCACTACCAATTGCAGCTGTAATTTTCAGTCAGAGCTTTTTAGCTTCATAATTGCAGAGCTGTATTGATAAGTTTTGTGAACTGTTTTATCATAACTTCATCATTCGAGGTATCAAAGGCTTCAGAGATAATTACTTGAAGCTGCTGACCTGACATCAAAATGTAATGATGAGATACGAATCACTGTCTTTTTTTTTTGAACATTGGCTTTCTTCAATTTAAGAAATTGTTCTGGCACATTGTTTGGATGATGGTGAGATTACTTAAGAAATTGTAACAAAAGGAAGCTGATCTTCGTCATTTCGGTGCAAGTAAAGATTTTATAGTTTTTAGCTTCTTGATACTAGTTTTTTTGTTTCCTCAGATGAGCCTAATAAATGAAAGGTGATAGTACTTGAGTTTCAAGGGTCAAGAAAAAAATATGTTTTATATACGTTTCTTCTGTTTTTACCACTGGAAATATTTGTGATATCTTTCGAATGCATAAGATTAAGTATGATATGCCACACTTAGTGCCAAGTTTTGTGTGATACTAGTAGAAAAACGACAGAAAATGTCTATCACTCCTAGAAGAAACTCCTCCTCAGTTTAAGCAGTTCAGGCTACAGTTCAGTCAAATAAAGATTGTTTTCCATGGTAAGTAGGAAATAATAATTCAGTAGGATGCCAGAGAACAAGAAAAATACTGAATATAACAGTTCAGTTAAAAGGTCCAAAGTCAGAAGAATCTTTCAGTGATTCAGCATTTGACTTAAATATAAACATTCTTAATAAATCAAGTAAGAATTAACTCTCTAAGGTAAAGTGTTACTTTATCCTATATAATCTTCCCCACCAACTAGACTTATATTAACATTAGAGAAACTATATTACTTAGAATTATTTAAGCACACAGTAGGCAATCTCTGGCAGCGCAGTACAGTAAGTGCACTTTAAATTTGCACGTCAGCACTTTAGATTTTAAATCCAGTATGACAGCATTTCAAAAAAGGTGTCTGTGCTATGTTTGAATAATACTGTTATTTTAGGATTATTCCAGACAGTGGTACAGAGGTTGGGAAATTTTTTGTTTAGAAGGATATGTTTCCTTGGTGAACTTCTTTCCTATTGGTGATGTTACACTTGCGTCATCTATTGTATCAAGGCCACTCAGCTGTTTCTTTAGCGACTCCAGTTATTTTAGAAGTTCAATATTTTGACTACTGATCTCTCTGTGGAATAAACTAGTACCTAGAAAAACAGGCAATTTCATGCAAATTTTTGACATCTGTAATTTGTCCCAGAAATGTTTTACGTATGAGAGTTTAAAATTTCTAGCATTTCAACTAAAAACATTTTAAAAAATACTTGAAATACTGTTGTCTGGAAGATAACATCAAAAGCTTACAATTAGCTGTTCTTAGACTTGACAAGTGATTTAAAAAGGAGATCAATAATAATCTAATATTGTTTGTGTTGGGTTGTTGTTTCTCCCATACGTATTAAATGAGCTTTAATTTTCTGTTTGTTTTAAAAATACTAAATCACTGTGGGAATGGTTAGGATTAACACAAATATTAAGTGAAGTCAAATATCAGTCTGGCTGCTGTGCTGACTTTCCAGTGCTCATGCGGGTTTTAGAACGTTCCTTTGACATAGTATAGTGAGACAAAGACTGGGAAGGTAAAGAATTATGTTGTAGAATAATATGTGTTAAGAAAAAAAAGTATCTAACTTCTGAAAGTCTTTCTGAGTCTGTGGGGTTAGAAGCAGCTTGCTTAAAAATACTTTCTTTTTCCTTAGATATGTCCTCCTGTGTTAGCTAAGCTTATTAGACATACTTGCTTTAAAAAAAGGCAATTAATTTCATGGCAAATAGTAAATGCTTTAAAAATAAGTTTTGTACTGATACAGGGTAATTTGAGGATTTTGCCGTCTTCATTTTATTCAGCTACTGAATAATTAATTAATTGTTTTAAGCATGCTTTTCTTGCAGAACATAAACTAAAACCAGAACTTTGAGTTGTTATTACTAAGCTTTATTGGTAAAGAGCTTTTTAAAACAATCTTTAAATCAATTGAATTTATTTTAAAAACTGTCATTATCCATAGTGCAATCCTACCTGTAAGTCTCCAGCAGACGTGACTATACATCCCTCAGTGGTGTCGCCATTGTCTGATGACACGTAGGTGTATTATTCAGATGCTTTTCCTTATTAAGGAACAATCAAACTGGACTGATTGTAATCAGCATATTTTAGTATTGGGAAGTTAGATTTTTTTTTTTTTTTTTTCTGCTTTGAAATAATTCACTCAAAAAATCTAAAAGGATTTTTTCTTGTTAATATTTGTTACCTAAGTCTGTTAGTACCCAGGTATCTAAAACTAGTACATGGAGCAGCTATCCATATTTGCAATTCTAATTGGGCTAAACCAGCTTACAGTAGTGTTTTCTGCCATTTCGTGGGCTAACATCTTAAAATAACTGCAGATATACACCACAAGTACTTATAGTGCCCTTCATTGGAGAGATATCAGGAAAAGTAATCTCAGCTTTACCTCTTTGGGATAGTAGATTCATGGAGTCTTCCTCTGTGTTAAGATTGTGCCCTTGAAACCAGGAGCATGCTAAAGGGCTATTTCTGGCTTCGATTTTGCTTTCTGTGTTCATTTGGCACGTTTGACTCTTGGCCTATGAGGAGTTGTGTATCCAGCTGTGCCATGAAGCTCCATGTGGCTTGTTTTTCAGTCCTTAGGGACTTCCTGTGTCACCTTTTCTTGTTACAGAGCTTGGGACTCGGGAAGTAAGGTGAGGTGCACAGCACAGTGCCCTCTCCACAGAATTATGCCGCCTGGATCGGTAACGGCAATCGCTGTGTCTCACACTGCTCTAGCTCCATAGCTCAGATTGATCAAGCCAGGTCTAAGTAGCCAGGAGGGAATGTGGCATTTCTAGTTTCCGTGGTACAAAGTGATATCTCCGTACTGTGGCTCACCTGTAGATGTCCCAGGTCGTTCAGAGGAGATTGAATTAGCCAGAACTGCCTGCCGTGTCCGAAGCTCTGAGTGCGACAAGCCTCGCTCGGCTGGAGGGACAAACACTCGGTTCTTCCAAAGGACTGCTCGCTAACCTTGAAGAACTGCTTTGGGGCGTGCGAGGAAACACCACAGATCTAAGAGTTTTCATCATTTCTGTGCCTACCTATCTCACAGCTGGGACCCACCAGAATACTCAAAGTAAATTTTCTTTGTCATATCCTTGGTGCGTAGTAATTTCTTAGAGGGTTAGGGCACTATATTCACTAGGAATTGTATCAAAAGGACTTGAGTCCCTTCTCTTCAGGAACAGGTTCTTGGCTGCAAATCAAAGTAGGAATCAATGGCTTCTGAAAAAGCTGAATAAAATCCTTAGACCGCGAAGTAGGACAAAACTTAGGGAACTCTTTCCATGCCACAATGTTTCCCTGTTGGCAAACTCTGAGCAGTTCATTACTCAGCCTGCTGAGTATTAAAATTTCATCACTCATTCCATAAGGAGCCAAATCACGTTCTGTACTACTCCATCCTCCTGGCTGAGGTGCTTATTCCTTCTGGGCCAGATCCATCAGTCTGTCACTCCCTTTTGTACAGAGGGCAATTAGATGTCTGCATATCTTTGAGGTCTTCAGTCTCTGCTAATTCTAAGCACATATTAATGTATTCCAAATTTCTGAATTTCCCATAACCACATCATGTAGTTCCTCAAAGCAGAAGCTGATGAAAAAGAGAGTATTTTTTTTTTTTCTTCCAGAGATGAAAACAAAATCTCTGAGGTATTTTGAAGACTCAGCTACATGTTTTCATGTTTTCTTTTGAAAGAATTCAGACAAAATAGTGCCACAGAATGGAAAGACTGAACAAGCAAGAAAATAGGTTGCATGCATATACATGTATCATATCTGTGTCTTTATACCATCAAATATCTTTTGGACTTCATAGGAGAACTGTAATTCTGTGTTAGTAAATCCTTAAAACTTTTAAATAAGTCTCTGTTTCGCATTTTTTATCATTGGTTTATGTGATCAACTTATGGGGTATTTTTTTACTTACTTTTTGATGGTGGCTTACTCTTTGAACCAGGGAATTTAGCTCAAGGATAGCCTACTCTTTTTCTTTGAACATATAGTTTGCAAATTGGTCAGGCAATAGAATTTTTCTCAACTGAATTTCAACCCCCACTGAAATCAGAACTGATTTGCAATTTGCTATTGAAAATCTCCTGAAAATACTGATATTTGTGCACGAGTGTCCTAAGCAACATGCTAAAGTTTCTGTATTTTACAGGTAGTAAAAATATAATCTAATTTACTGAACTGCATGGAAGGCTTACCTGCTTTGTATATGCTTTCTTCAAAGTAGTTCTCTCTCTTGAAGATGCATATGCTATTAACATTTCATTACTGAGGAAACCGATGTGTTACTTGGGATGATACATTTTTTGCAAATTCCCTGAAAAAACATACATCAAGTCTAACTGCTAAACCTGTAAGTTCCTTCATTTCAAGAACACTGAGGAGAGAGATGAAATGCGCTGTGACATAGACAATTTCCGCTATGTTGGTCGAGTAAATAAAATTGCCGCTATAAAGTTTTCCTGTAGAGTTGTAGGTGTTTGATCTAATTTAGGCTACTTACTGTAGAAGTATATGTAAATGTCTTTGTAGAGATCTAATATTAGGGGTTGACAAATCCAGTAGCTCAGTGTAGG